GACGGCCGAGCGCTGCACGGACTTGCGCCGCTGCGGGCTGCGCGTCTCGACGCTCGGCCGCTTGAGCAGCGTTGGCGATGGCAGGCGCTGCTCTTCCTCGAGCAGCGGCGGGCTTTGCGTGCGTCGCGGCGACCTTCCCATGACGTCGGTCGTTGCACAATGCAAACGGGCGTTGCGCGATGATGGATTCTGATTGGTCAAAAAGATACGCGTTTCAATCACAGCGGCGATTTTCGAGATTCGCGCGAGTGCTGCGATGACGCCATCGCGTCAAAGACAACGTGTACATATTGCCAAGGTCATTAATATTGGATATTTATTATTTATGGCCTTGATATTGCTGTCGAACAGAAACACACATGCTGCAACGCTACTGACGAAGAAACGCTGTGTGAGCTGGTGGGTCCCTCGCTGGATGGGTCGTCGTGTCCTGCGTGAAGGGCTACACACTTGCTAGTCGCGCACACAAGTTGTCTGTTGAAGTGGTGCCATGGTTGGCGACGCGAGCCTCTCCTTCGTGGTTGGACAGCGTTGCAAGATGGACGAATCCCGGGTATGGACAAGAGATTCGAGGTATATTTCCTGCTTCCTCGCAAGGGTACCCTTGTATCTTGTCAGCAACTGTAAGCACGTAGCTTAGAGGTCTTCGATACACACACTATAGTACTGAGCAGTGCGTGGAGTAAGTTTGCGATTTACATCCCAGTGTTTGCCGTAGAGATCGTCTTGGCGCGGCAGGCGGCCAGACGGTCCATGATGTCCTGGAACACATGTTTGTGTTTGGACCGTAGATGCGCTCGTGGCGCACTGCAAACGCCACGCCTCGACGTGTACGAAAGCGTATCTGCGTGCCAAACTCAATTCCTGCCTCTTCACCTGGTCTTTTATACTTGTAAGGCACATGCTTTGGCGTTGCTAGTCGAAATATCTCTCAGTCGTTATCAACGCCAGCGTTTCGCGAGAGTGCGTGGGCTAAACTTATAAGCCATTCTCGAGCGATGGGCTGCGGCGCGTCGATTCTGCAAGAGCCAGAGGGCATCTCGGTCGACACGCACAAGTTTGTGCACGCGAGCAAGGCCGGCACACTCGCCAACTCGGCGCGCGTCCGCGTCAAAAAGAAGGGTGACGACGTCATCACCGAGTCGCGCAACCTCGGCGAAGTCTTCTTCGGTCTCAGCGTGCCCTTTCACGAGATTGACGTCAAGTCAACGCTGGGTGCGGGCAACTTTGGCGTTGTGTATGAGGCGTACGTCAAGGGCAAGCGCGTCGCCGTCAAGAAAATCTACCTCCGCGAAGACGGCGACAAGGCGAGCGACCTCGACGACTTTGAACAGGAAGTCGACATCTTGTCGCTGCTCGTGCATCCCAACATTGTGCACTTTCTCGGCGCTGTCCAAGAGTACCCCAACTACTGCTTGATTACCGAGCTCTGCGAAGGCTCGGTACGTGTCGGCAAGCATATACTAGTATCGATCTGCCAGTCGTGTAGGTGCTCGATCTGCTCAAGCTCGTCGAGTCCAAGAAGGTCCGCGCCACGTGGGGCCTCGTGCTCGACATTGCTGCCGACTGCGCGAACGCATGCGGGTACTTGCACTCGCTCGAACCCATCATTTTGCATCGCGACATCAAGGTTTCTACTGGATGCAACAACTCTGTACATGATGCTATGCACTGCATAGGCCGAAAACTTGCTCATAACGGAGCTCTTCCGCTGCAAACTCTCGGACTTTGGGCTCTCACGGTCGCTCGAGAAGGACGCGATTGCCAACACGGTGTGTGGCACCCCGCGCTGGGTCGCGCCCGAGGTCTACCGCGGCGAGGTGTACTCGGAAAAGATCGATGTCTACTCTTACGGCATTGTCTTGTGGTGCGACCGTTCTGCAAGAGAAAACGATAGTATGCGCGAGTGGTTAGGGAGCTCTTTTGCTTCAAGAAACCGTATCTGGACCAAGACCCGATCAACTTGCCGTACATGGTGGTGCACAAGAACCTGCGCCCGCCACTCTGCGTGCACATTCCCGAAGTACTGCATTCGCTCATGAAAGCGTGCTGGCACCCCGACCCGGCCGAGCGGCCGTCGTTTCCCGCTGTGCTCCAGCTGCTCGCGAACGCAAAGTCCGAGGTGAAGCCCAGCATTACGATCGACACCAACATCTCGTACGCTGAGGCCGTTGAAAACAACAACCGAAAGCTGTCGCAAGGCATCCGCATGGGCATTGGATTGAAATCGGGGCTAATCTAAACCTTTCTTCTATTTAACACAAAAGAGACATCATCCCGTCTGATTTTTTGTGTTGTCCGTGGCCGTATGGCCCATCGGTGCAGCATTGAATCGTACGTAGTCTGTGTCGATCCCACGTCATTTTTTGTGGCGGTCGAGGACGGTCCCAGGCGAACCGCTGTCTTGTCGCTGCGCGGTTGGCATCCCTATCCTGATCGAGCGTCTGAAAATGCCGCGCTTACTCGTCGCGGGCCATGCGGTAGCGCTGTGCAGCGATATCGGATTGGGCGTGTGGCAGTGGAAGCCGTTGCTTCGGATCCTTGTGTGGGAGGCGCGTCGGCTTGACCAGCATTTGGCGCTCATTTTGGCGCTCCGCGAGTGTCAAAACGAAAACGTCGACCTGCCAGTTGGTGTGCATGATCGCCAATCGCATCAAATCCACGAGGAGCCGGACAGTGTTGATCAACTCGGGCACCAAGTTTCATGCAGTCCAGAGCTTCTGATCGCGCTTGCAGTATATGTCGTTGCAGAAAGTGACGAAAGTTTGGGTTCGCGTTGGTGCCACCGAGCGCTGAGGAGTGCAGAAAGGAGTACAAATCGTTGCAGATGTGAGTGGCCTTTAAACGCACTGGAGGGGTGCTACGTCGTGAGCGTATCTTTGACGTACTGGAGCTGATGCAAGTGGACGCTTCGCTTGATGTACAAGCGTGCGACGAGATTGTTGTTGTGGTTAGTGCCCACAACCTCTACACGACACGTGCATGCAGTTCTGCATGCAGTTCAAGTTGAAGCTCAGCAACACCACCGCTCCATTTAGGCCGAGGTTTAGCTTCTTGAAGAACGTGTAATTCGCCCACTCTTCATTTCAACGCCTCTTGAGCACCTGTCTTTCACCACCCTCGCTGCGCATACGAAGCAGGTCTCAACAATTGTCATCCTCGACGCAGTTGACATCGCATACGTAGGGGTGGTGCGGGTTCAGACGCGCCGTGGACCGCTCGTGGTACTAGGAGCCAGTCCCATCGAGGCACACAGTGTCTTCAGAGGTAGGGAAGCGCATACAGTAACCTGCTGGTTACGTACGGGATGCTGTTAGAATGGTAAATGGAAGGTGACCGCGTTGGAAGCGAGCTATGCTATCAAATTCAATTGTTTCGGGGCACCGACGATCTCTACTGAGAGGTGGGCCATGGGATCCTCAGCTTTGTGGGTGCATCGACTACATTGTATTTTACGTGCATGGCGTTGTAGCTAAGCGTTGAACAACCAAACACTGAGAACTCTGCAAATCTGATATCGGATTGGTGAAGCGGGCTAGGGTTACGAGGTGCAGATCGATTCAAGTCGTGCTTGCCTTAGCGCACGTGCTCGACGTGCTGATTGGACGACTCGTGGTTGTACTTGGCGTGGTTGTGCTGGATCGAGTACTGAAGCGCGACGAGGCTCTTGATGACAACGAGCGCCGCGTTGCGTGTCGCCTCGCGCTGACCAGCCGGCAGCGCAGGAAACGGCACAAGCGACGGGTGCGTCTTGCGCTCTGGGTCATACGTCGCGCCATACTAGACAACCATGAGAGATTTGTTTCGTAAAGATAGTGTGCTGGCGAGAGCAACCTTCCACCCGAGCGCCATGTACTCGTGGGCCCACACCTCGTGGTCGTTCTCTGCGAGCAGGTCACCGAGAATGACCAAGTCGCCAGAGAGCGAGATGCGCTCGAGCGACAGCGGAAACAAGCGCGTTGGCGCCGATGTCTTTTGCGCTCGCAACGCATAGCTGCAAGACTCCATGAGCGCAACGTATCCAACATTGCTATATCGTACCCGAGGGCCAATATGCACTGCACCGAGGCCGTGACCGACGCCAAATTCCGAGTTCTCGCAGCGTCGTCGAGGTGCTGGTAGGGAACGAGGAGCGGGTGGATCTTCTTGTCTTCGCTTCGTTCGGGCCCCACGCGCCACCCCTCGAGCGTCTTGGTCGTACACCACGCAAAGTGCACCTGCTGCGCCAGCCACGCAATATCAACGCGAAGCCGCGGCGGCAACGGCACGTTGGCAATGTCAATGGGGCTCGGCGTGTACGGGCTCGTAGAATGGGCTTTCGCAGAGGATGTCGCTGGCGATAGGACGCTCCATAGGGCGAGGTCCTCGGATGCGGTCGCGCTCTGCCGAAGTTGATTGAACTTGAGCTGCAGCGGGGAGACCGCGCCCGACATGTCGGCAGCATCGATGCTCACCTAGTGCATCGAGTAGAGTATACGGCGGAGGATCGCAGCGGACCTCGCCGAGGGCCACGGTGGAATGGTGGAGGTACTGCTTTGTCGCGCCGGTCGAGAGCCACGGGTGCAGAAGCACGCCATCCAAGGTAATGCGCTGCGCGACGTCTTTCGCCAACATGCGCGTGATCAAGTCGGTGAGCGATGGCGACATGGCGCTGGCTGTCTACGCTCGACCGCTCCATCACCACGCAATGTACTGCAATGCACGCACGGGAAACGTCAACGGCGCAGTCGCAATCACATCAAAGAGCGCAAGGATGCTCGGTGCTTGGAATGGAAGTTGCCCCACGGCAAGCGCATACAAGGTGACGCCGAGTGCCCAGATGTCGGCCGCGTACCCGGAGTACTCTTCGCCCGAGAGAGCTTCGGGCGACATGAACTCGTATGTCCCTAGTCCTTTTTTCAAAACGACGCAAAATAGCTCGACGAACCTTTGGTGTTGATGAGCATGCCGGGTGCAGACCCCGCCGCGGCCTTGTCATCGTCGTCGCCCTCCGTCGATACGTCGCCTTGCACCGACGTGGGTGGCGGAAAGAAGTGCGCGACGCCAAGGTCTGCCAGCTTGCATTCGCGGCCGTCGTCCGTCAAGAGGAGGTTGTCGGGCTTGATGTCGCGGTGCACGAGGTGGTTGGCGTGGAGGTACTTGAGTCCGACGGATGCGCAGCGCAAGAGCCGCTTCAAGTCCCCTTCGCCCATGATGTGTTTGGTGTGGAAGCGCTGCGTGGTTTTGTCGTACGACGCGATCGGGCCGCCGCCGAG